TAAAACCTTCAAAATGGCGGTGTCCTCTGGACCGGCAAAAGTCCACAGCTCAGCCCACCTTTCTCTTCACCTTCTCTGTTTGTTCCCCAGTCACCATGCACAGTCCGTGCAGTCCCTGGCTAGCAGGGTGATTTTTAGGTTAATTTTTAGGTCCTAACATCACACAGGAATGTCCAAGCCGTTTGTGCCGTCAGGGGCGTTCAGGTCCCTGCCAGACTGCAGCTCCATATGTCTCCTTTTTTGGTGTTTTCACGCAAATTTTTCTGCTAGTTGGGTTTAGTCTACTTCTGTATCCTTCCCCTCAAGGCTCAGGGGTCCAAGATTATCTTCTGTGTCTGTGTCAATTGGTTTCCCTTGTCTTTGTTGAAGAGGGTCTGTGCAGTCCTTCTGCCTAGTCTGCCATCTTGCCAGAACTCCTAATTCTTTATATTTTTAAGGCATTTTCCTATCTAGGGTCTCATAAAAAATTCAGGTGAAATTCACATAACATAGAATTAATCATTGTATCTTCACATTCAATGTTGTGCAACTATCATTTCTATCTAGTTGAAAACATTTCTATCACTACAAAATAAAACCCAGTAACCATTAAGCAGTCACTCCCCACTCTCCATGAGTCTCTGGCAACCACTTATCTACATTCTATGGATTTACCTATTCTGGATATTTCACATAAATGTAATCATACAATATGTGGCCTTTTGTGTTGACTTCTTTCACTTAACATAATGTTTTCATTGTTCATCCAGATTGCAGCATGTATCAGGATTTCACTTCCTGTTGTGGCTGAATGATCTCACTTTGTGTGTTATGACCACTCTGAGAAGGATGAAGGGTACAACTTTTTTTCCACTTCACTGATGAGAGAACTGAGGTGTGAAAATTTCTAGTGATTTTCTCAAAGTTACGTGGTTCTAATTTACTCCACCATTTAGAATAGGCTGTTCACATCACACAGCAAAATGTAGTTATTGCTTTCCTGATATTTCAGTTTTTAAGCCAATATCATCAGCAGTTTATTAGGAAACAAAGATACTTTCCTTTCTTTTACACTTGAACCATATAACTATTTCAATATTTTTACTTACATTCAATTCAACTAAATTCATTGCTCATGTCAAAGTATTTGACTAAAGTATAGCAAAACTACTGTTCCTTTCAAGGAGGTCAAAACGTTTTTCGCAGATGGGACCATGTCATATGAGTACAGATGAAAGCGGCTTTGTTGTACTCCTCTTCTGGGAATCTTTCTAGGGATATTACTAAAGTCAAGAGTAGGTCAGAAATGAAGAAAAGATTGGAAAAGAAAGAATAACTTTAATGGAAAATTGAAATCATTCCTTTTCAAGTTCAAAATTTTCATCCTGATGATAGATCTTCAGCCTTGCAGGACGGAGTCTTCCCAGATACAAAGGTGACAACCACGTTAGGAGTTTAATGCAACTGTGATTGATATCAGCAGGTCCATATGGTATGGATATTTTACTACAAATTTAAAGGACAATTATTAAGCAGATTCAATGGGAGCAGCCCTGGGCTAGAAGGATCTGAGAGATACAAAAGGAAGATGGAATCTTAGAAGGTTTTATAAGCCAGTTTGGGAGTCATGCAATCCACTCTGTGCTAGATGCTGTCAATCCTTTATTCCACTGATTCCTCACATAAGTCCTGAATTGAGTGATATTATTCTCCCTGTTGTAATGAGGATATTTGGGAAGATTTAATGACTTGCTCAGCGACTAACTGCCGGACCTGGAGTTTGAACCCAGGTCTCTGGTTTCCAAGAACTATTTTCACTAATGTTCATAGGAAGCAACCAGCGAATAATGGTGTTGTAGTCTAAAGTGGGAACAAGAATCCAGGGTACAGACTTAATGCTGCATTCATATTGAAGGAATTCAGGGTAATAGCAAGATCCTTGTGGGATAGGGTTATGATGGGCCATTTTAGGACTTCATCAATAAGTGAAGATGGTTGTGGAAATATTCTCAAGATGAAACACTTATTTTTTAAAATTGTAAGATGCATATAACATAACATTTGCTAGTTCAACCTTTTTCCTGGGTCACAATTCAGGCCATCAATCATGTGCAACTACCACCAATATCCATTGCCAAATTTTCTGTCACCATAAACAGAAATTCAGTGCTTCCCAGACAATGACTCCCCTTTACCCTTGCCTCTTGCCCCTGCTGGTAACTACTATTCAGTGCTGATCTATATACATTTATCTGTTCTAGGTATTTCATATAAGTGAGATCATATATAATACTTGTCCATTTGTGATTGACTTACTTCTCTCAGCAGAATGTTCTCAAAGGAAGAAACACCTTTTTAGCAGGGAAATTTCCTAGGCTAGTGAACAGAAGTTTTCTGTCCTGAGTTAAAAGTAGTCGTTTCTATTATATCCTAAAATGTCTGATTCTGCTGGTAGAGACATCTGAGCATTGCCACAGGCCTGGAATGCCCCAAGAGGGTAAGAATAGCCCACAATGTGAGATGAGTCCTGCTGTCATCTTCTGGTCAAGGCAGTTGTCAGGAATGCGTTGCCTCAGAGGCAAACAGCTCAGGGCCCTCTGAACTCGAAGACACTAAAACTGGCCTCCTCCTCTGGCATTCAACCCTTCTGTTTCATATCTCCTAGCCTCAGAGTTAAGTCTTTTTGTAGCTAAAATAGATTTATTCCTGCACATTTTGGGAACCACAACGTCTCCAGCAGCTTGGCGTTTGTGACATTCTCAATGGAACATTTGGACCTGCTGGGGTTCCTAATCATCACGTTAAATTACAATGTGACTATTGTGGGTAAGTATTGGAAAAAACCTCCAAATCTTTTGTTCCTCTTTGGCTTTCTTTACCATTTTAGAATGGAGCCCTTCTTAAAGGGTCAAGTTATTTCCTAATTTGAGTTTGGCTGGCCCACCTCCAAGAGAAAGGCCTGTGTATTGCTGGAGGAAGGGGAGCTGTGGACTCCTTTTCTTCTTCATCATGAGAGGAATGATGGTGTGAGTATTATTTCTCTCACTGAGTCTCTTCTCCCTGGTGGTTAGGGGCCATATTTGAATACTAAAGCAGATGGGAAGGGTATTTTTCTGTAACTATTCTTTGGTTCACAGAACCAGGAAAAAGAGGAAGTGAAAGTTAATGAGAAATTAATACCTAAGTTATGCTTTTTTCTTGTTCATCATTTTAGATTTTATTTTTATAGCTTAATTTATGCAGATTAGTATTTTCTCTCATGCACTTTAAACCAAATCTCAACTTAAGTTTAGATTTTTTTTTTTTTTTGACCAAAAAGTACTAAAGTTGTCTGAGTTTGTTCCAGACAAGTCAAATTTCAGAGAGGTGTGGTGTTACAGAAAAAAAGATTGAGAAAAGTCTTAAGATATCCTGATAAGTCATGGGTTGATAGTTTACTTTCTCATTATATTATAGAGTTTAAACAAAATGTCCTTTTTCTTGAAAGTGTGAGTCAATGATTTTATCATGTGATGATATTATTCTGTGAGTTTAACTGACTTCCTTTATAATCAAGTCTTGTTCTCTGGTTTCAGTGATATTTTCTCTATCTTGTCACAAAGTACAATATTTACACATATTTTGCAGTCTTTAACATGTTCTATAACAGTTGGCCCATGGCATAAAAATAGGGCTTTGAAGTTATTTTGGTCTCCTAGGCTGGTCTCATTTATTCATGATGAATTGAAGAAATACAAACCTCATTAATTCATATTAACTGGAATGGGGTAAAAGGACCTCTGCAATATTGAAACATCTGAAAAATGGAATGCTCCTGGAGAGATTAAATTTCAAGGATGATAGAGCAACATTTATTGGAAACCCTGTAATTAAACAGACATCTTGTGGACCATTATTACAAATAAAAAAGACTTACAAAAATTAGTAACATGCATTTGCTATAGACAGTTACAGGCATATGCTAACATCCTTTAGAAAGCTTATTCTCTTAAGAAGAGTAAGATCTGATTTACATCATTAATTTGCTTCCCAAAACATTCTTTCTAGATAGTCCAGTCCAGAGAACATTACCAAAAGACTGCATTAGCAGAGAGAGATGAAAATATTTTTAGGATACAATACTTGCTTCAATCTGCTAACCACAGAGCATTTTACAAATGAGTAGGTTTGGTGCAATGTTTGACACATTTTTAAGTGCTTGATGTGCTTGATAAATATTTGCCAAATGAACTGATTAGCTTATACTGTTTCTGTGATTAAATACATGCTTATTGGTGCTTACTGATTTCTCTGTTCTGCATTCCCAGTATTAAGTAAATACTTAAAACTGTCATTGGGATGACAAATATTCATATGCATATGATGTTGTCACTCATTCGTGTTTCCTCTTCTCTAGGAAAGATCTGGCTTATCTTCATGATACTGTTGAGGATGATGGTGATCATTTTGGCAGGGTACCCCATCTACCAAGACGAGCAGGAAAGGTTTGTTTGCAATACTCTGCAGCCAGGATGTTCTAATGTTTGCTATGACATCTTCTCCCCTGTGTCCCACTTTCGGTTCTGGCTGATTCAGAGCATGTCTGTCCTCCTCCCTTACGCTGTCTTCAGCGTCTATGTGCTCCATAAAGGAGCCATGCACGCCGCGGTTGGACGCTGCCGGTCAGAGGGCCGCCAAGGGGGCCAAAACCCATCAGACCTGCCCACCGCGGAGAGGTACCATTCACAGCCCTCCAAAGAGGGACACAACCTGAATATCCCAGACTTCTCCTCTGGCTACATAGCCCACCTCTTTCTTCGCACTGTGGTTGAGGCAGCTTTTGGGGCCTTACACTATCTTCTCTTTGGATTCATGGTTCCAAAGAGATTCTCTTGCTCCCACTCTCCTTGCACCAGCGTGGTGGATTGTTATATCTCTCGACCTACAGAAAAGTCCATTATGATGCTTTTCATCTGGGGTGTCAGCGCCCTCTCCTTCCTCCTCAGTGTCATTGACCTGATGTGCAGCGTGAGGAGAAGGATGGGGCAGAGAAGATCTAAGCGGATGGCCAGGAGTTCCTCCCGCAGGAGAGAGTGCGAAGTCTTGCAGTCTCCCCCTGGCCATGCTGAGGACTGCGTGGCCTCTCGGAGCCTGGTGAGAAGGCCGAGTCACATCAGTGATCATGGTGTGTGGGAAGGAGAGGAGGTGCCTACTCACCCAGGCATGTGGGCTGGAGAGGAGGGCACCAGGACCAACTTCAACAGCCCCAGTGAGAGGTCGGCTGTATCGGGAACTTTGGAGATTCCAGATGAAGATGAGAGTGTGATGATGTCCTCAGCCAGTGAGAAGCTGCCCAGGGCTCATCAAGAGCCCCAGGGTGGGCTCCACAGAGAGGCCACCCAGGTCCCAAGGAGAGAGGGCCATGCTAACTGGGGAGAGCTCCCCTCAGCCCACCGAAGCAGGCTTGTCGGGCACTATTCATCCACTGAGCTACAGCCCCTTGACCGGCTGGCAAACTCGGGCAGTGCTACCCACTTGAGAACCAAAAGGTCTGAATGGGTGTAAGGAGGAAACACCCAGCAGTGATCCTAGAGGAGGGGCCGACCGAGCTCTCTAACATGGACAGCTACCGTGTCTTCAGAGGAGATACCTACTGTGATACTTGTGTGATCTTACCATTTGACTAAATTCCCAAAGACTGTTAATCTGCAGAAAGGTACCGCGGAGCTGGCAGAGAGACGCTTGGACTTTATGGGAAACTAATATATTCTCAATACAGATTTAATTTATATGATACTTTCTCTTGAAAAAATTAACTTTCAAATACTGACAAGAAGCTAAAATGATTCCTTGAAAAGTGTCAGGTTACTGATTACCTTGGGGTTGTTATACTCTGACTAGTTCTATTGTATTATTCTTTACCACAGTATGAGCTTAATGTAAAACATTTTTCCTTACATTAATAGAATTCATTAATTTTGTAATGGTTTTTGGTGAATTATACTGAAGTTTTTATTTGTTTTTGCATGTTTTTTTCTTGGATGAAAGAGGCATAGATTATGCATCTCATCAATAAAGAGATACTAGTTAGTGTTTAATATCTCCAAACCTCTTTAATAAAATTGGTGCTTATTACTTTGTAATCTCATGCTTTATACCTCATTGTGTTTTAGGAGAAATGACAAATGGAGGGTAAAAAAGTCTAAAAAACAATCGATTTAGGAGGTGTTCTGGTTACCTAGTGCCACTCTGACATGAATATACCACAAATGGGATGGCCTTAACAAACAGGAGTTTATTCTTACAATTTAGAGGCTTAAAGTCCAGTTCAAAGTGCCAGGCTCTAGGGGCTATGTGAAAGCTCCTCCACCTTGCGGTCCAGCTCTGCCTCCTGCTCCTGGCCCATTGGAGCTAGAGGCATTTCTTCACTCAGACAGCTGCTGGCTGCTGGCTGCTGAGGCTGAGAAGCCCCAAGGTTGACAAGC